CTTCAAGAGAATCTGAGCTTTTTTAAGGTGGTGTTTGGTACATGCATCTTTCATCATCTTATTTTATGCTGTCTATATATCATCCTGCCATGTCCTTATATAATATTATTTCCTTTTTTCCCTCTCTGTAGAGGAAATCTCTAGATTTTGAAATCAGCACCCTACTTTTAATTCTCTTATTGTTCCCTTTTGTAGTTCTTTTTATGTTATATGTGTATATTTGTAGTTACGTATATGACATAAAGGGAACTGTGTTATGGTGAAGAGATTAGTGGCCAATTTTCTCTTGCCCATATTTCTTTTATTTTATTTTTTTGGTATAATATAGGATTTTGGACAAAATTATTATTACTAAATTATCTTTATGTAAACATTACATTAGTGTTTAAAAGCATAGACTCTGGAATCTCACTGCTTGTTTTAATCACACCTCTGCCACTTGCCAGCTGTGTGACCTTGGTGAAGTTATTTAAACTTTCTGTGTCTCAGTTGTTACATTTGTCACATCAGGATAATAATATTACCTGCCTCATTGCTAGGATTAAATAGATTAATTTACTTAGTGCTCTTAGAGTAGTACCTGGCACATAATATGTGCTATATAAGAGTTTACTGTTATTATCATTAGCATTCTCCTTGAGGAATTATTGTTGGCATTTACATTTTATTTTATAAAAATTAATTTATTGTTTTTGGTTAACTGTGTGTGTGGTTTTTTGTTTGTTTGTTTGGTTTTTGGTTTTTGGTTTCTTCCTCACTGCTAGGATTTTTATTATGTCCTCTTTCTTGAAGTCTTATTGTCATGTTTAAGTTATATCTGTTTGTACTACTCTGAGTAGTTTTTTCAGGTGTGATCCGCTGTCTTGTTTACCACTATATTTTCAGTCCCTAGAACATAGTTTGGCGCATAATAGGTGTTCAATAAAGATTTGATAAATGAATGTGTGCCTGGAGTCCTTGCATATCTGTTAGGCTCTGGCCAAAGGGGGCCTTAGAGGGAAATTGCAAGGCAGCAAGAGGAAAAGGGGACTTGCTTCTTTCTGTTTGAACCCTGTTTGCTTCCCATCATCCCAGCAATGTTTCTTCACAGCAGCAGGTCCTTCTTCTAGCAAGGCTTGAGTCCAGTTTGCAGTTTCTCTGACTCTCACGGTACAGTCGTCCCTCCATACCTGTGGGGGATTGGTTCCAGGACCCCTCATGAATACCAAAATGCAAGGATGCTCAAGTCCCATCTATAAAATCGCACAGCTCAGTAGGCCCTGTGTATCCAGGGTTTCTGCATCCACGGATATGGAGAGCTGACTGTACCAACCACTGAAGCCACACATCTGAAAAACCAGCACTGCTAGCCAGTTGGCACCCCCTCCTCGAGGTCTGTATGCTAGCCCCACAGGGCCCTTCCTCCAGAAACCCAGCAGCAGCCCAGCAGCTCCCTCGTAGAGATCTAAGTTCCAATACCTCTATGAACTTCTCAGTCTTAATTTGTCTCTTTGCTTTGTTCCCCAACCTTAGAACTGCACTTCTGGTACTTGTTCCCTCCATGATACCTTAGTATTCTCCTTGGCCTCTCCATTTCTCTAGTTAGCAACTTGATTCCTCCTTAGGGAATTCTCTCTTAAAATACCCTGTGTGTCTTCTGACTCCACGCTGACTGAGACAGCTTATCTGTCTTATGAAATTATGTCACCTTTCTGAAGGTAGACTCTATCAATAACTATTCTCTATATCAGGGATCAGCAACTGCAGCCTGTGGGCCAAATCGAGCCTGTGTCCTACTTTTGTAAGTAAAGTGGTACTCAGACATAATCACACCCATTCACTTTCCTATTGTCTATAACTGTCACTTTGCAAAGGCAGAGATGAGTAGTCATGATAGAGACCACATGGTCCACACCACCTATAATGTTTTCTGTCTGTTCCTTTATAGAAAAAGTTTGCCAACCCCTATCCTACATCTATAGTTAGCAGAATTTTTGGTATTTAGTAGACATGCCAATAAAAAATGTTAAGTGAGGGAATATATGGAGGAAAGAGCCAAAAAGGGAGATGGTAAAAAGAAAGAACAAGGAGGAATATAGAAAAATTTACATTTTAACGGTGATGAAAATTTTATTTATTGAGTTCCAGATCAGATATAGGGGAAAAAAAGAAAGTTAAATTGGCAAAATTTTACCTTTCATTAATTTTCTGTTTAAAAATATAAAAAATCATGTAAATAAATTTTGCTTAAAATATATTAACCTTTTAATTGAACTGTTATGAAAAAAACATTGAAATTATATCTACCATGTGTACTTGAATTTTTTTAAATCCATGAAATAAGTTAAAATATGGCAGTATCAGAATAATAACTTTTTAGAGTTGACTGAGAATTGTAAACAGGGCACAATAGAACTGAAGTAGACACATAAGTTGGTGTTAATGACTTTCGGGCAATGTAGTTGATTGTGAAGCCATTTGAGAGATGTTAACAGCTACACATACTTTGTAGTGTACATTTAGTGACTGAGATCAGTAAACTTTTTATGTTCTGAAGAACTAGTTTACAGATAGTATTTATTGAATAATTTACTACATTTACAATTCCGTACATATCATGCCCCAAATCGTATGCTGTAAAATCTTAGTATAACTTCCAGTACAGTGAAGCACTTAAAAAATACTCTGAAAATAACATTGAGTCTATCAGAAATAGTGGTTGAATTTGTCAAAAACATTCTATTAGTAAGGAGCTGAGTAGAATTTTAGTTTTACTTTTTGGTCATTACTGAGATTCATTACTGTACATTTACCTAGAGAATAGATTATCCCAACCAGAGCTGCTTTCCCCCTCCTCTGAACTCCTGTGTGTATCTATTATAATAGTTTCCTGTTGTTGCTACAAAACATTACTGTACACTTAGTGGCTGAAAACAACACACAATTATTATCTTACAATTCTGAAGGTCAGAAGTCCAAAATGGGTCCAATGGATAAAAATCAAGGTGTCAGCAAGGTGCATTCTTTTTAGGAGCTCCTAAGGGAGAACGCTTCTTGTTTTTTCCAGCTTTTAGAGGATGCCCACATCCCTTGGCTTGTGGTTGCATCACTTAGCCTTTGCTTCCATCATCACGTCTCCTTTACTGTCTCTCTTATAATGACGCTGTGATTACATTGGGCCCACCCAGGTAATCCAGGATAAGCTTCCCATCCCCAAATCTTTAACTTAATCACATCTGCAAAGTCCCTTTGCCATTGTAAGTTAATGTATTCAGGGGATTTGGGGAGGAACATGGACATCTCTGGGGGCCTATTATTCTGCCTACCACATCTTTCTTCTTTTATTTAGAATCATTGAATGTCAGGGCTGAAAAGGACATTGGATGAAAACTTGTCCAATCCCTTTACTTTACACATGAAGAAGCTGAATGAAACCAGAGGCTGTTTGTCTGCCTCTAAGCACTCTTTAGGTGTGAATCAGGCCTAATTAATGTTTTGTATGCCTAACTATACTTACAATAATACCTTGAACATTTTAAGTACTCAGTAACTATTTATTGCCTGAATGATTAAAAGGTTAGTGATAGAAACCAGGTATACCTGGTCTCTGACTCAGTTATTTTAAGTTAGTGCTAATAGAAGTTTATAAAAAGCCACTGACTGACAATACCATAAAGGGTAGAGATTCATTTATTCTTATATTTTGTAATTGAAAGGAGGAAATTATTCCTTCTTAAACATGACTACCTTTTTTAGTATTACATTTCTCTGTCTCTTGTCTCTTGTTTTTCTAGAGTAACTCATGGAATCCGGATTTAGTTTCTTTGATATTCATTGCCATTGGGCTGGGTTGATAAGATAAACCTGTATTTTCTGTAATGCATATTTTTCATTTCCTTTTTCATATTTTTCATCCAATATTTAGGACAATTTAAAAATCAATACTTATCTTTTAAAAACTATTTCATAACTTAAGGAAAAATTTTAGAAATTTAAGTTTATTTTTTTACTTATAATTTTTCTTCCCTTGTTAAGGAAGGATAGTTTGGACTCTTGGTTAAAATAAAATGAAAAAAAAATTTTAATTAATTAATTAATTTTTGGCTTCGTTGGGTCTTCGTTGCTGCACACAGGCTTTCTCTAGCTGCGGCAAGCAGGGGCTTACTCTTGGTTGCAGTGTGCGGGTTTCTCATTGCGGTGGCTTCTCTTGTTGCGGAGTGCGGGCTCTAGGCACGTGGGCTTCAGTAGTTGTGGCATGTGGGCTCAGTAGTTGTGGCTCGTGGGCTCTAGAGTGCAGGCTCAGTAGTTGTGGCGCACGGGCTTAGTTGCTCCGTGGCATATGTGATCTTCCCGGACCAGGGCTCGAACCCATGTCCCCTGCATTGGCAGGCAGATTCTTAACCGCTGCGCCACCAGGGAAGTCCCAATAAAATGAAAAATTTTTTAAAGTTTATCTGGCATTTCTTTTTGAAAAACATTAAAACCTAGATTTTAGGTTTAGATTGTCATTCAGATAGATAAATCACTTACTATTTTCCAAGAAAAAAAAGCTTTGTCTGATACTTGTGCAATGACTGATTTTCTTTTGTTAATATTCTTGTAGTTTATATAGAATCTGATTTATTGTTATGTGAGTTTGGATGTATTAGGCATGGTTCTTGAAATAAAATATACCAGAAGCTTTATGTTCTAAGCATTTAGAGTCTTTTCTCACTTGTATCAGCATGGTTTTTCATTGGCCCTATACATTTATACATGTCTAAATCATATACACGTTTCTACAAATACTAAGATTGCAAATAATTCTATTTTTACTTTGTCTACAAGAATGGTACATGTAAAGTGCTTAGCAACTGTAAAAATGGACCATGGTAAAAGTGCCCAATAACTGATAATGTTTATTATATTGTCATGCTGTCCGTGAGAAAAATGTTAATTATAAGTCAACTTTAGAATGCATTCATTATAATAAATTATATTCATTGGGTGAAAACATAATCCAACTTTTCTTTTCTTGGCAGCAACTTGAATTGGTGGAACCAAGTGGCTGGATTCACGTTCCTTTAACTGATAATCATAAGAAGCCAACTCGCACATTCATGATACAGATTGCTGTTCTAGCCAATCATCAGAATGGAAGAGATACCCACATGAGACAAATTAAAATATACACACCTGTGGAAGAGAGCTCCATTGGTAAATTTCCTAGATGTACAACTATTGATTTCATGATGTATCGCTCCATAAGGTGACCTTGAAATAGAACAAAAGTCATTAAACATATCTTTATCTTGTCAGTAAATATTAAATCTGGTATCTTTATTGAAAAATGGATCAATTATTTTGCAATTTTTTATGCATTGAAAAGTATTTTATTGTAACTTTAATAAATAACTTTTGGGTCATACTATGTTTATTTTCTTTAACATATAATAAAGCTCACATATTTTATAATTATTAAAATGAATTTGAGCCAATCATTAAATTTTTCCTTATATCAAAAGAAAACCAGTTGAACTGAAAAATTTTAAGATATACACAATTTTTTACTAACTAGGTAGTTATTTCATATAGTGATCATGCATTACAGTAATGATTTACTGCATGTTTGGGAACAAAACTATGTTTTACCAATAGATATTATCTTTAATAGGCCAGAATTATTTTTTTCTATCCAGAGGAAGCTTCTTCTATTAATACTAGGTCTTTTTAAAAACTGTGTCAAAATAAGCTTAGCATTCAGTGTGTGATGAGAACCATTCTGATTTGGGGAATGTAATTAATTGTGTCATAATTATTGTACTCCCATGAAATATTTTTAACCCTATGGTTGTCTATATCCTGATATTATGTCAGCAATTGCCAATATAATCTGCTGTTTTTTCTAATTCTAATGCTGTTTATAGAATAGTTAGTTTCAAATTTGTGTCTGACACTGAAGCATTCCCTAAGGGATAATGTAGCTCACGAAAATTTTAAAAATATATGAAATTGTTCTTTACATATAAAAGTATTTTAAAGTCCCTTGAATGAGGTTTCTTTCCATGGTTTAACATGAGTCGATTTGATTCTGTATATCTCCCCCGGCACCACCCGCTACCCCATATCCTTACTTTGGGGGAGACAGAACTTCTCCATATTGGCTCTTTTTTTTTCTTTTTGTGGTTGTGCTGCATGGCTTGTGGGAATCTTACTTCTCCGACTAGGGATCAAACTCGGGCCCTTGGCAGTGAGAGCATGGAGTCCTAACCACTGGACTGCCAGGGAATTCCCACCATATTGGCTCTTGTTTGGGAAAGATTCCTCAGAGGTTCTTGCATTACTGGGTAGACTGAAGTCTTAAATTAGCAAAGTTTAGGAAATAATTATGTGTTTGATTTATTCTGGCAGAGTACTAATTTACATGGATGCTATAAAAAAATGAAGGTTTCATTTTTTTCACTCAGCAGAATCTCAGCTCTTTTTTCTATGAGTTCCACAAAGAGTTTGTCATTTTCATTCTGTTGTCTTTAAAGTAAGAAGCGTGGTAAGTGACTGTATGATCACCAAAAAGTCTGTGACCAAAACTCATTTGAGATCAGTGAGTTACGCCCAAGCATAGATGTCAGATGCTGGGAAGGGTAGAAGAAAAACAGATGGATAGGAATTAAAAGTAAAGGAGAGAATCAAGAAAATAAGAAGAGCAATATATACTTGGCACTGTATTGATGTTCTGCGTTAGTCTGATAAGGAAAACATTCATGTAAACAACAGGCAGAGTCTAAGAGGCAGAGAAATCTAATAAAAAGTAAAGGAAGTTTTATTAGTAATAATGTTACTACTTGCTAACTGCTTTTTAAAAATTTGCTTAAAAGAAAAAAGGAGGAGGACTAATTATCATTTACCTGATCCAGTCTGTTATTTCCTACTATTAATAGTTTGTGAAAAAAAACTCCTAAAATTAGGAAGAATTAAGAAGAATGTTGAGAAAATTACTATGTTTTCTAGTTCTACTCCCTTTCCCTGTTTTTCATAAGCCAGCTGAGCACCTCATTAGGCATGGGAAAACTTGGTAGCCCGGGATTATGGAGGTAATGCTTCCCCTTATTTTAAGGATTATCTGAAGTTCTGATAGACCATGTGTTACATTAACAATGCATAATTATCTGAAGCAGTTTCATTTCTCTTTTGAAAGAGCAAATTATATAGCCAACAAAAGATTTGTATCTAGAATATATAAAGAACTCTTCTTATCACTTAACAGGAAGAAGACAAACAATCCCATTAAAGTGAGCAAAAGATTTAAACAATCATTTCATCAAAGAAGACATATGATTGACAAATAAGCATATGAAAAGATGCTCAACTTCATTGGATGTTAGTGAAATGCAAATTAAAATCATAATGAGATACCATTTCACAGCCACTAGAATGACTGTGGTTAAAATGACAACGAGGAGGGGGAAGGGTAAGCTGGGACAAAGTGAGAGAGTGGCATGGACATATATACACTACCAAATGTAAAATAGATAGCTAGTGGGAAGCAGCCGCAGAGCACAGGGAGATCAGCTCGGTGCTTTGTGTCCCCCTAGAGGGGTGGGATAGGCAGGGTGGAAGGGAGATGCAAGAGGGAGGAGAAATGGGGATATTATGTATAGCTGATGCACTTTGTTATACAGCAGCAACTAACACACCATTGTAAAACAATTATACTCCAATAAAGATGTTAAAAAAAAAAAGACAGTTGCACGTGTTAGCAAAGATACGGAGGAAATGGACCTCATGTCAAACTACTGATGAGGATGTAATTAGTGTATAACCACTTTGGAAAACATTTTGGTAATTTCTTAAAAAGTTAAACATATACCTGTGTATGGGTATTTACCCAAGAGAAAAGAAAGCGTATGTCCGTACAAATACTTGCACATGAATGTTCATAGCAGCTTTATTTGTAGTACCTAAAAACTGGAAACAATGCAAATGTTGATCAATAGGAGAAGGTATAAACAAATTGTGGTAAATCCATATAATAGGATACTACTCAGCGATAAAAATAAATGAACAGTTAATACATGCGACAACATGGATACATTTACAAAATAATTATGCTGAAAGAAAGAAACCACAAAAAAGAGTATATAGTGTATGATTCTATTTTTTTTTTTTTAATTCTAGAAAGTACAAACTCATCAAGTGATAGAAAGCATATTAGTGGTTGCATAGGATGGGGAGCAGACAGAAGCAAGAAGGTATGAATTATTTGGGGGGATGACAGAAATGTTCATTATCCTGACTGTGGTACTGGTTTCACAGCTATATACATATGCCAAAATTTATCAAATCATACATATGTGCAGTTTATTGCATATCAATCATACCTTAATAAAGCTGAGTTAAAAATAGCTTATTCTACCTGTTTCACATAGGAATCACCCAAAGAGGCTAGATTTGACATAGTTATATTTCTCACTGTATAGGATCTGAGAATAAAAAACGAACATTGAAAAGCCATCTTAACAGTTAATAAAACAATGACAGCAAATTCACAGATTCATCCGTAATCAGTATACTTTTTGAGTATTGATCAAACTGCAGTTATGAGATTTAAATATTTAAATTATACATGTAATTGAAGCACTAGACACTTTAAAAATCAGCTTATTACCTGTGGAAATACTGTCACAAGGAACTCTTTGTATAAAACCGTGGAATTTTAAAATACAGCAATGCACTGAAGGCTAATAAATACCCAACTCTAAAAAGACTAATAGATATTGAATGTTGAATTAGACATAATAAGGAAACCAAAGTAAATCTGATGCAGACTTTGCTTTCCAGTTGCTTATAGTCTACTAGGGGAAATAATAGGTCTCCGATAACCAGATCAAAAATTAGACTGGTAAGATCTCTAACTGGTGGATGGAAAAGAGAGAGTTACTTCCTATTCAGAAGTTAGAGGTGAAGCTAAAAGAAGGCGTTGCGGAGGAGGTGGAACTGTAGAAAGAAAGACTATTTGTAATATCAGCTAGTTATTCACTTTTTAAGCCTATTCTCGAATCCAAACTGTCATTGTTTTTACGTGAATAACAACAATTAATTTGAAACAGATGATTTGTATGTTAGGGATCCAGTGATGTTTTGTACATTTGCTCTCGTTTGAAAGATTCCAACAATTAAAACACAGACCAATCTTGAAAAGTAATTTTAGACACCATGCCTTCTGTTCTTTTAGCCATTATGACTACTAGTTTAGTACAGATTAATACACTACAGTATAAATTTTTATGAGTATAAAATTTTATAACTCAAATACAAATATTTGATATGTTTCTAGTGTTTTAGAAAATTTTACTTTAAATTCTTAATAACATGTTGCCTTATTATATGTCATTTTTAATTGAATTCTTGGTTCAATTACCTTTTAAAAATGATAAAAGTTGCAAAATATGTTAAATTAAACCATTAGGGAAAATAAGACTTTGTAGTTGTGGTTATTTGGAGACACTTTTGCTTTGTGGAGCTCTTAAACCAAGTTAATCTTTTGCCCACATTGTTTTGATTTTCCCCACATCTACTATGACTCCCTAGAGTATGGTGTTTGGAAGTGTTTGCCGTACAAGGCTGTTTACCAGCCATCTACAAGGAAGCGCTCTGTGCTTCATGATCTGCCATTTAGTTGGGCCTGCTTCTGTGCAATGGTGTCTAGAAAGCGTTAGAGAGAGGAGGACAACAAAGGAAAAAGCCTCAGGGATTAGTTTATTAATTATCCATGATAATGATTTATTCTATTAACAGGACATATCTTAAGGCTAATTAATTACAACTCCCCCCCCACTATAAATCTAAGAAAATGTCTATAACCCATGGCAATTTTGTAAGAAAAGTTGAAATTATTTTTTAGTAATACTAACCAGTCTGTGTTTCAGTTTTATGTGAAAGTACCCTCCCATTTTTCTATGGCTAATCCTGCCACCATTGTTTGTCTTCTCTTGTCCTTTCTGGTTAAAAGAATCAATTTACTATTTTGCCAATATAAGCAAAATTACAATGATACCAACTTAAAGTTATTCTATCTTCTTACGAAATCTTTTTCTGAGTGAATTGGTATTTCAGGAAGTGGTATTTCACATCATGTATAATTGAAGCTCTAGTATTTACCATCTCAGTTGTTTTAATTACTGTACTTGTGGCCGTAAGCTTTCCACTGATGCAGTTCAATGGTGACCATAAGATGTTTTTCCACTATGTATTTGCTTTTCCGGTGTTGAGAGCAAATTACGATTCTCTCCCTGTGGTCCTAGAAGTAACTCCCCCAACTGTTTTTATAGACTTTATTCTGAGACCAGCTCTCCTCTGTACCCTGGCATTCATCTATAGCTGGAGATCCAGATTTTAACAGATCATTTCCTGTTATTACTATAGCAGTATCAAAATTCTGATCACTTACCAAGAAGCAAAGTATCCAAAACACT